ATCTTGTTTTGCACAGATTGTTTATGTGACGTTAGTCGGTAACCATTGAAACATTTGATTGTTTTTCCTCTAGGTGAATGTAAATTAACATGTCTGGAAAATCTTATTGTTGGCTCAAGACCTATGGTGACGCTTTCACTTGCACAACTGCCGGGAAATACAGGGCTGATAGCCCTGGCAATGGGGGGATTGGATAACAAGATATATCTTTATTGTGGGGAGAGGACTGGAAAGGTACCATCATCTGACTTTTTTGTTGTTGTCTATTTTCATGTATCCCTTCTTTCCTATTGATATCAACTCAATATGTTTTTTATTCGAAATTGGTTGACGTCAACCATGTATATCGAGTATTTCAACCATGCATTTATGATCTCCCTTGAATATTTCTTTGTAGCCAATAAATAAAATATCCTTTTTATTTTTAAATTTGCATGTGCAGTTTGTTCGTGCTTGTGAAGTAAAAGGGCATACAGATTGGATCAGGAGTTTAGACTTCTCGTTACCTATATTTAGTGGTGAATGCGATAGTATTCTACTTGTAAGTTCATCTCAGGACAAAGGTATACGCATATGGAAGTTGACTCTCCGAGGTTCTCTAGCAGACACAGAGGGTACACGTAGAAGAGGTGAAATAAGCCTGGCATCTTATATTGAAGGTCCTGTTTTCGTAGCTGGCTCATTCTCTTACCAAATATCTTTGGAATCTCTTCTGATTGGACACGAGGATTGGGTATATTCGGTACAATGGCAATCACCTTCAGTGGTTGCCGAAGAAGAGGTTGGCTTCTATCAACCCCAAAGCATCTTGTCTGCATCAATGGATAAGACGATGATGATCTGGCAACCGGAGAGGAAAACTGGTATTTGGATGAATGTTGTCACTGTTGGGGAATTAAGCCATTGTGCTCTAGGCTTTTACGGTGGCCATTGGAGCCCTGATGCATGTTCTATCTTGGCTCATGGATTTGGTGGCGAATTCCATATGTGGAAAAATATCGGTGTTAGCTCAGATAATTGGCAACCACAGAAAGTACCTTCTGGGCATTTTGCAGCAGTGACAGATATCGGTTGGGCAAGCTGTGGTGAGTACATACTGTCAGTAAGTCATGATCAGGTGAGATGTCATCCTTGTTAAAGATGTAGGTGAGAGGTTGAGATAGCGATAGAATTAATGTGCATTCCTTAAAACTTTCGTGAAATTAAACGGCGGTGTTGATGTTGGAATCTCTTGTTGCAGACGACTCGCATTTTTGCTCCATGGCACAATCAAGACCCTCAGTCTAATGGGGACTCCTGGCATGAAATTGCCCGGCCTCAAGTTCACGGGCATGATATTAATTGTGCAGCTATCATTCAAGGAAAAGGGAACCATCGTTTTGTTAGTGGAGCAGACGAGAAAGTTGCCAGAGTGTTTGAAGCCCCTTTATCTTTCTTAAAGACACTGCATCATGCTACTTCAGAACAGTCGAGTTTTCCTGAAGACGTCCAAGCAGATGTTCAGGTCCTGGGTGCCAATATGTCTGCCCTTGGTCTATCACAGAAGCCTATTTATGTAAATGGTTAGTTTCGTAAATAACTAATATACAGTATGTGCATTGAGATCCCTAGCGGTACACCCCCTCTTTTTATCGCATTACTATGTGTTCAGGTCTTATCGTCTTCTTTTTCGTGTTTCCTTTCGACGCTGAAACTTTCTTGTCTTTATATTTGTAACGACTTAAGTTTACCACCATCAGTTTATGTGCATGAACTTGCGTAAGCCAATTATTTGACAGGAAAAATTTTCCTTGCAGCAACCCATGAGGTCCAAGATAATCCCGGAAATGATGGTATTGACACTGTTGAATCGGTTCCTGATGCTGTTCCAATTGCTTTAACTGAACCTCCTATCGAGGATCAACTTGCTTGGCATACGCTATGGCCAGAATCACATAAACTCTATGGTCATGGGAATGAGCTTTTTTCTTTGTGCTGTGATCATGAGGGAAAGCTCGTTGCTTCATCGTGTAAGGTACATGTGTCTTTCTTACCATTTGGCAATGTGACCGATTAATTTGGTAAGGTGGATTGTATTTCGATGTAATCTTGTCCCCATGCATGTTTCGAATTCATCTCTCTTCACCTTGATCGTTAAACCATACAAGTCATGTGAGTTCGCAATATGACCGACATTGGTTTAGCAGTGCTGAAGTGATCAACCATCACACAGAAAGTTGTCCTCCGATTGTTTCTAACTACTTCGTATGCAGGCCCAGTCTGCAACAGTAGCCGATATATGGTTATGGCAAGTGGGTTCATGGAAAGCTGTTGGCCGCTTGCAGTCTCACAGCTTAACCGTGACACAGATGGAATTCTCTCAAGACGACAACCTTCTTTTGGCAGTGTCACGGGATCGTCAGTTCTCCGTTTTCAAAATCAATAGAGGTACCCTGATATCTACTCACTGTGTTCTAATACCGTTTACTCACATTAATTGAATGTTGATCGTATATGACCGTCGGTTATTTTTTTATCTGCAGGCATGGACGAAATCAATTACAACCTTATAGAGAGGCGGGAGGCCCATAAACGAATAATATGGACATGTTCTTGGAACCCTTTTGGTCACGAATTCGCAACGGGTTCTAGGGACAAGACGGTGAAGATTTGGGGTGTGGAGAAGAAGACATCTTCAGTTAAACAGCTCCTGACTTTACCGCCGTTCGACAGCAGTGTCAATGCCCTCTCTTGGGTTGGTCTCGTCCGACAAAGAAATCACGGGCTTCTTGCAGTCGGAATGGAAACCGGACTCCTTCAAATTTGGAGCCTTCATGTCGAAAGAGGAGATTACAGCATTTCAACGGGAAGTGTGACCGCTGCTCCGATCATCCGGCTCGATCCTTTCATGTGCCATGTATCTGCAGTTAACCGTTTGGCGTGGAAGAAGCGTGAGAAGAATGAAAATTACACAAGCCTCCAGCTTGCTTCTTGCGGAGCTGATAATTGTGTGAGGTTGTATGAGATAACCGTCGACAAACCCGATAACCATTGAATAGTAATAATTATAATCTACTTGATTTGTCAAACTAGAAAAATAATAATAATAATAATAATAATAATAATAATTAATATTTTATTGGTTTTCATTTATAATCTGTGAACTTTATTTAATATTATTATTGTTATCTACATCATTTAGGATGTCTTAACTAGGGGTGAGTGAAATTCGAGTCGAAAAAAAGTTAGTTTTTCAAGTCGAGTCAAATTGACTTCAAGTTATGATTTCATAAATTAGATTCAACTCAAAAAATTTTAAAATTTAAATCGAGTTGGAAAATACAATTTGGATAACTCGAAATTTTTAGTAATTAGTTGATTGATTTTTAAGTTTGAGTTAAAGTTTAAGTTGAATCCCTCGACTTTGTATGGCATATGCAAATCACATGTGAAAAAAATATGAAAAAATATATATGTTTTGTATATGATTATAAAATTATTTAAATTGAAATCAAATAATGTCATAATATTGTAAATATTGACAATTAAATTTAAATTGGAACTCGATTTCAAGAAAATTTCATGTCAATTCCGAGTTATAAAATATGACTCATCAACTCGAATAACTCAAAATTTTTTTACTCGACTTAATCGAACACAAACACCTAATCTAAACTTTTATATTATCTCACAGATAATCTTAATTGATTTCAAACCTTTAAAATCGTTAGATAATAAAAAAAATCCAAAGCTCAGTGTCATTGTCATTTTATCTCTTTTCTTCATTATTAAGATTAAGGGTAAAATACACAAATAGTCCCGACTACAAGGTATTGCTTTATTTAATTCATTGACTATTAAAAGTTAGAAAACAGTTCTCTAACTATAGAGTGATGCTTTGTTGAATTCTTTTACTATTAAAATTTACAAAATGGTCATCCGACTATTTTATTATGTTTCAAACTCATCATTTTCCGTTAAAAGTTGACAATATTCTGAATTTAACCTCAACCTATTGGCTGTGATATGATAAAATATTATCTCAGAATCTCAAACTCTTTAATTTAAGAAACGCGATCGACTTCATTAAAAAGAATATTTTCCTTCTGTTTCCATATTATCAAAGAAATATTGTCCCTCTTTTATAAACACCAAACTACAATATTTCAAATCCAATATACCAAATTTTATATATAAATTAAAATTATCAAAAATAAATAGGCAAATGCTGAAATATATATACTCTCTGAAAAAAATGAAAACGTTTATGATCAAACACACTTTCTAATTTTTTAGAAATGCGTGGGACTAAAATGGAACGTGCCACATAGAACAAAGGCACACATATCTATCAATCGCATCTTTTGTTATAAGCAGTGCATTTACTTTATATGACATACACGGTCAATGAAAGGCTGTCTATTGGTGAATAATTGGCTAAAATGTATCAATTCAATAAATACTTAATTTAATGGTGTGTTCACATCTCAAACCATTAAACAATCAACATAAATGAAACAAATCTTCTGCACACTCAAAAGAATGAAGCTAATCAACTGTGCATATATCAATGATGCAAAAACTAGCAGAATTCATGGCACGAAACCATGAATTTGCAGAAATAAAGAGATTTTATACGACCAGAAAACCTGTTGGGGCAAAATCGCAGTCAAAAGGGTACACTAAGGGCAGGAAGGGATCCTCATGAATGTCTTTTTGCACTTGATGGTCCTGCACAACTTGAACAGAAATAGCAACTTTACCGACAGAAAGCCTTCTGATTTCAAGCACTTGACCTCAAACCTTATTTTGGATAGAGACTTGGAACATTCCACCCTCGTGGAGCTTGTTCTTCTAGAAAGCTTACCGAGTAATGGATTGATCATACATGAGCATCTAGCAAGAATTTCACTTGCAAGTTCATGTCTCTGCATACCCAACATTGAGTATAAGCTTTTACAGTGAAATCTTCAGATAGACTTTTGTTTCCTATATGACATATCATAGTGAAATACAGTAGATAGAAAAATACCATCAGAGTTCCTTATTATCCTTCAAAAATTCATATCAGAAAACCAGTACCGCTAACAAAGCAGACATTAAAACAGAAATTAAAGCTATAAACCAAACCCTTCTTTCAAAATTGTTGTTGCTTTCTACTTGACTTGATTTACATTGGCCGTGAAGTCTTGATCTGTTGATTGACGTTATCTGTCGAACGTTGAGCAGATGAATCTGGCAAAACTACTGCAGTGGCACCTGTCATGGTTTGGAAATGAGAAGGCATAGTGGGTGCCAGATGCTGAGTGGAGTACATCTGAGAATTAGCAGGATCTGTGAAATCATAAGCATACATGGCAGGCATGGCAGAGGTAGGTGCAACAGATTGTGATGAACGATGAATCTGAGAGTAATGGACATACTGTTGCTGATTGTTTGGGACTTGAACCAGTTGCGGAGTACCGGTAGCTGATGTTCCGAATGCTCTTGCAGCAGCAGCCATTTCAGGATTGGAAATAGGAGCACTTCTCAGATGGTTGACTGTCAGATTGGGAGGGGTCTGTGAATGGCTAGATGGGATTGCATTAGTGCCTTCATTCGTACTAAGTTGCTGGACATGAAAGTTGTAAGCTTGGCCTTGCCCTGTCGGCACATAATAGATGGGATATTTCTAATAAATTTGAGCATGATGTTGTTGTTGGGAATGATGTACACGGTAATAAGCTGAGATTGGAGCAACCCCAACAGGGTGTTGATGAATATAATGTGTTGCACCAGTATGTAAGAATTGTGGTGGAGATGGTTGTCGCAACTGTTGATCAAATTGGGGTTGCGACAATATATAAACAGAATCCTGAAGTTGTTGATGTTATCTCTGCTGCTGCTGTTGTTCAAATTGGAGTTGCTGCAATATATAACCAGAATCCGGAACTAGTTGCTGCTGCAACTGTAGATCAAATTGGGGTTGCTGAAAGATATAATCACAATCCGGAACACGTTGTTGTTGCTGCTGCAACCGTTGATCAAATTGAGGTTGCTGCAGTATATAACTAGAATCCTGAACTAGTTGTTGCTGCTGCAACTGATGATCAAAATGGGGTTGCTGCAATGTATAACTAGAATCTTGAACTAGTTGTTGTTGCTGCTGCTGCTGCAACTGTTGATCAAATTGGGGTTGCTGTGACATATAACCAGGTTCCTGAACAAGTTGTAATGGAAACCGAGCGTTTGCATTCGGATCAGAGATATCAAGGTTTGGATCAACAGGGGTTGTAGGAACCCCGTTGGTCCCAGATGGGATTTGAACTTGGTCTTGATGAATCATATGTTTTTGGCGTGACAATGGATTTGCAGAACTACAATCACTGCCAAATTATATATATATATATAACACGATCTCAGCTGCTTTCTAAAAGTAAATCCAAGCAAAATTAAGGAATAGAAACAAAGATGTAAGGGGAACCTGGAGAAGCCAAATCATGACCACTGCTAGATTTCTGTTGATTCTGAAGAGGAGCACCTTGAGGTAGTGATTGTGGAGGCGATGATTTCTTGTACCCAACAGGAACCCCATGATCCGATCTTTCGTCATCCGAACAAACCAAATTCGTATTTTCCCCAGGAACCCCACCACCAGAAACAGCTTGCGTCACCGATGACGATCCCATAAGTCCTTCATCCTGCTGTTTCGACGCTCCACCAGAAGCAGCTGCAGTAACAGTAAGATGAGCAAACCGTTCCTCAATCCCTGCCATTTTATGCTCCTTCTGATCATCGGCGTGGACTCGAGTCGGGGGCACGTTCGCAAGCGAGGGAAACGAAGAAGTAGAGCCGAAAGAGGAATTAGTTTCAAGCATAGGAGAATCGGGAACCGACTGAACATCGTGATTTTTCAAATTCAGATTCTTCCGACTCCCACTTCCTTCATCTTTCAAACCAACTTCAACAACACTTACCTGACGATCATCATCCAATCCCAGCAAGCAATTCGCCTTCGTCGCGGAATCCGAAAACCCTCTGCTCAACAACCCCGCCCCATTCAACGCATTAAGAAACCATTCATCGGACTTCGTCGAATTGTTTAGAATCGGCCCCATCGAATGCCAAGACAGTTGGGTCTCCTCTGGATTGATAGGGAAAAGAAAGAGTCGAATACGCGTGTACTTGTTTGATGACAATGTTTGGGAACACGTACGATCGTATTCGTCGATCATGTTTTCAAAGTCTTCATCGGTTGTAACAGAGATGAGAGAGTCGAGGTCTTCAGAAGGGAGCTGGTACTTTAGAGTAAAAGGGCGACCGTGGAGAATAGAAACGGAGAGGCGGCACTGGAGAGAAGCGAGGGAAGTGTGACGGTCCACGACGACCATACGGGTGTCGCCGCCGATGTAGCATAAGACATGTAGCATAAGACTTTGTCGTGAGGACGAGGGACGATGGTGCCGCCATAACTGCACATAACGCGGATCTTTGAGTGTAGAGTAGGAGGAGCTGGGTCGTCCAATGAGTCAGTGTTACGGGAGCGTGGCGAGGAATTGATGGAGTCGGGATAGTTGGCTGGAATGGTAGCCGCAGGGAGGATTCCGGTCGTCGTGGTGATAGGAGGTGGAGCCGCCGCTGATGGCGGAGGCTGGGGTCCCATTTTGGGGTTTTTTAGAGGAAAATTAATAATAAAAAGAGGGGGAAATAAGGAGTAAAGTAGACTAAACTCATTCTTCTCAAAACGCCTGGTTTTGCCGCGTTATTATATTTTAAAAAAGGTAAACTAGGTCAAATATCACTTACCTTTAGGTTCGGACTCATTTATGCCAATAATGTTTTAATTTTGTCAATTTTAACACTAGCATTTAAGTTTAACTACAATTATGCCACTCCGTCGTTAATGACGTAACGGCACGATGACATGACACGCTGACGTGACTCCCTCACCAAAACGACGTAGTTTTATTTGAGAAAAGTTAACAAATAATGCATTTAAAGTGATTTGAACCAATAACCTTTTGAAAAAAAGATTAATACTTAACCACTATACCAAATTAGACTTTTTGACATAATTCTATAAACATGATATACATAACATAAGTCAACATTTGAAAAGTTATTTTCATAAAAAACCTATGAAGTTATTAAAATTCCAAAAAACCCTTAAATTTCATAAAATTTCAAAAAACTCCTAAATTCCTAAAAATTCTAACAAAATTTAGGGATCAAAGATTCCAGTATTTTCTTGCTCACTAAACGCCTGCTCTGTATCATCATCATTTCCAAACGGATTAACTTCCCTATCTCTCCCACGACCCCAACCACCACTTCTGCCACCTCATCCACCAGGTTGAACACCACCACCACCATACCCAGATCGATTGTTATAATCATTCCTAGGAGCAGTCCAATGCGATCCCCCTTATCCAAGTCGATCGTTACTTGAAGCAGGGCCACTGGAAGTAGAAGCAGGTAGGTCTGCTGACGGCGGGCAATTACGGAGATGTGGAGGAACATAAGCAGGTCGCCCACCACCCAAAGTGGAACCAGAAACTTTGATGCTATCAGAGGAAGAACCAACACCTACATTCTTAGCCGCAGAATTTGCAGCCAAATCTTCCCATGATGTTCATGTAGTCATTATAATTCACAAGCACCCAAGATCCCAATTTTTCAACAAAAACCCTTTTTAGTCAAAATCCACCAAGCTAACTTCCCAATATGAAATTTAATTGAACCTGGACAAATCATTAAAAAAAACCATAAACCCATCAAAACAAACGATGCAATCATCTCTTACTTCATTAATCACCCAAATATAGCATGTTAATGTAATCCATCAACTCGAAAAAACATCGAATAGACCCCGAAACTTAATATACAAAACAAAAACAACGATTCATTCGATCGATTGGGGGGAAAAAGCTGACAGTGCCACAGAATCAACAAACAAAAATCTCCCAAGTGCATTATAGAATTATGTATATTATATTTATAGAATTATGTCAAAACATCTAAGTTGGCATAATGGTTAAGTATTAACTTTTATTTCAAAAGGTTATGTGTTCAAATCCCTTCAAATGCATTATTTACTAATTTTTATCAAACAAAACTACGTCGTTTTGAGGCTTTTTTAGTACCAACACAGTCATGCCAAAACGACATCGTTTTGGTGAGGGAGCCATGTCAGCAACGTCACGGCGCAGAGATGCCATGTCATCGTGCCGTTACGCCATTAACGGCGGAGTGGCATAATTGCAGTTAAACTTAAACGTTAGTGTTAAAATTGGCAAAATTGAAACGTTGCTGGTATAAACGAGCTCGAGCCTAAAGGTGAGTGGTATTTGACATATATTACCCTTTAAAAAAACACTATTAATTGTTTTTTTTATATAAATAACTCTCAAATTGTATATGTAAGATTACTTCGCATTTTATAAAACTAATTTAATGGATCTCATATTTTATAGGGAATGAGACTATCAACTTTTTCAAATAAAATTATTTAATATTAGATAAAGGTAATAATAGATGAAAGCAACTCACTTTTCGTTGAGCACAAAGTCTGACACCGCTTTTTACATAACGCGAGATATTTTATATGGACAGTTTGAGGGTTATTTTTCTAACAAATTTAATTTGCAGATTTCTCAAAAAAATAATTAATAGGAGCTTTTAATATAATAACGTCTGGAGTTTGGGTTAAATTTTATAACTAGTCTTTATATTACATATATATTATGAATTTAATTCTTATATTATAACTGAATCATTCTAGTCTTATACATTTGGGAGAATTTTTAGAAAAAAAATAATTAAAATTATTTATTCTAAGTTTCTTTTTTTTTTTCTTTGATAGTTTAAAATGACTATAAAAGAATATTTGCTGAGAAATATTCACATTTCCTTTCGCAATTAAAATGCATTTATAAATTTATTTTTAATCAAATTAATATTATTAAGCCAAAAGATACTAAATTAAGTAAGCGTTTCATAATAATAAAGAGATAATATTTGACATATAATCAATACAGAAATCTCATACACTATCGTGAATCAATCATAATTCTTTATTTCATTAAGGAATAAAATAAAAATAACTAAAACATTTATAAATAAATATCTTAAAACTTATTACCATACTCTTGTTACGGTATCGAAATTCATTAGCTTCTCTTCTATCGGAATTCGTTTGCTTTACCGGTCCATCTTGATTCTTGGCTGCCAAATTCCAAAGTCTATTACAATACACGCAGAGCCGGCTTTAAGGGATGCACCCTGGACGATTGTTCGGAGCCCGACTTTTTTATTTTATAATTAAAGGTCCCTAAAATTTTGATTTTATAAAATAATCTTTAATTTCTACTTTTATAATTGAAAATCCATAATCATTTTTTATGTTTTATTAATGTAATATTATAATAATTATTTAAAATAATATAATATACTTTCGTTCTATAAAGCCTATTTTTGAGTTTTTGCTCAAGGTTTATAACTAAGAGTTCCTAATTTTTTTTTCAATTTTATAAAAAAAATCCATACTTTATACTTTTATAATTAGGGACCATTAATTGAATCATGTTTCTATGGTTCATTAATGTAATATTAAATTAACTTTTCGAATTAATAAAATATATTTTTATTTTATATGACATATTTTTAAGTTTTTGCTCGAGGTTTATAACTAAGAGTCCCTAATTCTTTTGGCTTAATACCAAAACAAGTGTCTATAACTATACCGCTTTTCCCTATAGGTGCCTAAACTATTTTTCAACTCATCCAGGTACCAACGTTACAAACGTTACTTATTTAGGTGTTCGGACCAATAACTGTGTTAATTTTCCCTGTTAACTAACATGTGTCATAATCTGGTGATTTTAATTTTTTTTAATATTATGATATTTACATATAAAAAATAACTTTTCTTATATTATAAAATAACCCAAAAATCTCAAATCCTAAACTTAATATGTCGGCACCCTTTCCGGCCATGACCACAACCACCGACATAGTCTCTACCATTCTCATATTCATATGTCGTCGTAGTTTCTGTTGATTGACCGTCAGAATCGCGTGGGATCGAGATTTTCATCCTATGGTTCGTGGGGTATACAATATTGATTCATAATCGATTGGCCGTTGATCGATTTCGATTTCATGGGGGGTTTTGGTGATTGGGGGGAGGAGAGGTCGGGTGGAGCTTATTTGATAGCAAAAGGAGTGACCTGCGTGGGTTTAGGGGTTGAAGTGAAGGTTTTTAAAGTTTTGGGTTTATTTTAAAATTTGTGTTTTCTTTTTTAATATATATATATATATATATAGTTTTAGTTTTAAATTTTAAATAAAATTTTTAAAATTATCATGTTTTGAATTTTAAATAAAATT